CATGATTATGTTGCTAATTTACTCCTGAAACGTCTACCCTCTTGCTGCAGTCTTCTGCAGTTTACAACCATGTGCCCCAGGGAACACCCCACCACCACTGCAGACACTGCTTGCAAAAACGCTCACTTTTTCTTTCCAGTCAGACTGTCCTCTGGTGCTTACCCCTTGCTTACCCTTATCATACTTTATTTTTATTTTAAGTGCCTATTAACTTGTCTGTCTTCTTTGGCTAGAAGGCAAAAGCTGTCTCTTAATTTGGCTTCCTATCTCTGCTATCTATAATAGCACAGAGCCTGGCACCACTAGGCACTTGATAATCTTTGTGAGAAGGAAAGAAGATAAAAGAAAAAAAAAGTCCCAGTCTGTGTAGGAATTAATGTAGTTGAAGTATGAAATATAAAGTGACTGCAGTAACTAAAGGGAAAAGCTGAACAGCTTTCATCATGAACAGTGCGTAATGAAGACAATCAAGAGCCTTCCTTCCTTTTGTATTGATTCTGCTGACAAAATCCTAGAGCTGGATTAGAGAATTCCTTTTTTAACTTTGGTTTTTGTCTTTGGTGATACAAGTAATATATGTTCACTGCAGAAATATTACAAAAACACAGAAAATAAACATCATCTATAAGTATTTCACCCAGAAATGTTTTGGTTATACTCTTAGCCTTTTTTTCCTTTTCATTCAGATTAAGAAATTTAAAAGAAATTATTTCAGAATTGCTTGTGAATACAAAGAAGGTAAATTGCAATTGGAAAAATACTTGTCAACTACAATAGAAATTTGAGATGCTGTTTTTATTGTTGCTCATCTAGGCAGTCAGCGCCTTAGAATGCCCTTCCTAATCTCCAGGGGAATGTGATCTCTCACCTAGAAAGCTCCTTGGGCACTTTTCTTATTTCCCCTGTTCTGATTTGTGGGAATGATTTTATCTGCCTAGGATGAAGCCAGGCTTGAACTTCTGAAGTTTCTATATACAAGGACAAATCAAGGTTGACTTGAAATGATGAGAATCTATACATAGAATGCATCCCCCTACGCCTGCCCCAACTCTCTAAAATATCACTCACATAACAGCACCTTTGAAAGGAAGCAAGGACGTTACTAATTTATTCCTTTAATAAACAGCTTGCCCACTTTCCGTGTGTTGGCTACTGCACTAGCATGCAAAGTTCAAAATAATAGATATTCCTTGTCCTAAAAGGAACGTGTAGTTTAATAAGAGAAAAAGAGAAGTAAAAAAAAAAAAAAATTGCATTGCAGGCCCTCCCTGGTGGCGCAGCTGTTGAGTGCTGGCTTGTGAAGCTGCCTGCAGCCTCTGCAGTGCTGGTTTGATCCCCGGCCGCCGGGCGAGGGTCCCACATGGCGCGCAGACCTCCCCTCAGCAGTGTATTTCATAATCTGCCTGTTCTGCTCCCTGCTTTGGCTCTGGTGAATTCTCTCACCGTCCTGTGTTTCTGACTGTACCCTGTGCTTGTATAAATAAATAAATAAATCTTTTAAAAAAATTGTAATGCAGTATAGTAAATGCCACCAGAGCATCAGTGGCAGCCTAAGAAGTAAGCAGAATTGATCAGAGAAGCTTCCAGAAGAGGGATGATGGAGTTGGGTCTTAATGAAACAGTGGGAATTGTTCATCCAAACAGGCAACACTATGTCTGCTATCTGAAGACACAAAGACTCCTATCTCTTTGGGGAAATGGAAGTAGTTTGGAATATCTGGAACATGAGGTAAATTAAAGGCAGCATATTAGGCAAAGTGATGAAAACTTTGAATGACAGAGTTTGGATTTCTCATACAGATTACAGGAAGCCACTGAAAGATTTTAATCAAAAGCAAAGACATAGTCAGGTATATTCTTTAGAAAAACTATACAGCAATGTAAAGGATGGTGGAAGTGGACTAAGTTGCAGGCAGGCGTCTGGTTAGGGGGCTAATAGAACAGTACCAGCAAAAAAGAAGAGAAAAGAAAAGAAAAAAGGCAGATATTCAGAAAATTCAAATCTATAGAGAGGGGAAGTAAATTAGGGGTTGTCTGGGACTAGAGGCCATGATAGGGTGTAACTAAAAATGGACACAAGATATCTTTTTTGGGTAATGGAAATATAATACTGCATATGGCAATGGTTGCAGAGCTCTGGGCATTTTCTTTTTTTTTTTTTTAAATAATAAATTTTATTTTATATTCCCCCATACAATTGCAAACGCCCCATTCTGACCCCAATCCCTCCCCTCCCGCCCCCCACCCCCCAAAAAGTGTCTCTGGTTCATAGTTTTTTGTTGATTTTGATTTTCACTTTCTTATATTCATTTTCCTGGTCCCTTATTTAAGTTTTCTAGATTCCTGCTATGAGTGAGACCATCCGGTATTTTTCTTTTTCTTTTTGGCTTATTTCGCTGAGCATGATCCCTTCCAACGCCATCCATGTTGCTGCAAATTGCATGTGTTTATCTTTTTTGAATGCTGAGTAATATTCCATGGTGTATATGTACCACATCTTCTTGATCCAGTCATCTATTTTTGGGCATTTGGGCTGTTTCCAAAGCTTAGCTATTGTAAATAGTGCTGCTATAAACATAGGGGTGCAGGTGTTCTTTGGAATTGATGTTTCTGTGTCCTTTGGGTAAATACCTAGGAGTGGAATTGCTGGATCCTATGGAAGCTCTATGTTTAGTAGGTCCAGAAATTTCCACACAGCTCTCCATAGTGGTTGGACCAGTTTGCATTCCCACCAACAGTGTAGAAGAGTTCCTTTTTCTCCACACCCTCGCCAACATTTGTTGTTGCTAGTTTTTTTAATATGTGCCATTCTCACTGGTGTGAGATGGTATCTCATGGTAGTTTTGATTTACATTTCCCTGATTACAAGTGATGTTGAACATTTTTTCATATGTCTGTTGGCCATTTGCATTTCCTTTTCAGAGAAGTTTCTTTTTAGCTCTTCTGGCTCTGGGCATTTTCTAAAAAGTCATTGAGCAGTACCCTTAAAATGAGTGAATTTATAGTATGTGAATTAAGCCTATATAAGGCTCTTTCAGAGAAAGAGAGAGATTTCTATTCTCAAAGGGTAATAGGATTGAGAGGAGACACATGTAAGAAATGCTGATAAAGAATTTATAAGAGTGAGATTTTGCTTGTATCTTATATGAGATAGTATGGTCACTTGTGTGTTCAGTGAAGTGTCCTGTTGTCCTAATACATTTTTGTATATATAAAAAAAAAGTCAACCATACCCCTTACTCAGTGGGTTTCAAAGCATAGGGACTCCCTTTAACTGGCGGTACAGAATTTCTGCCTCTGGGTCCTGATCCAAAATCATATTCTCTAGCTCTCACCATCCTGTTCTTAGCAAACACTTGCTGTGAGAAAAATATTTATGAAGGATTGCCTGAAGGATTTGTGGTCCATTCATTTCTCTAGGCACTATTACTCAGCAAAGAGTGATTGCGTGCCAGGTGTTATGCTGGTAATAAAGTAGTGAATACAGCAGATAGAGTGTCCGCCTTAGTCTAGCAGTGGGGATGGATGTTATTTATGACTCTGTGTTGTACTAACCATTGTGTTGGACTTCTAGGTCTGAAGGACATGGCTCTAGGCACTGGTGCTCTGCATCCAGCTGGCATTCTTTTGTAGTGTGTGAGTCTTTTGAATATGATCCCTTTCTGCATCTGGGGTCTCTTAGGTTATCCTGAGTCTTATATTATCTTCCTGTTCCTTATAATTGCTTTTGTTGAGCTGTTCATTGGCGTTATGCCATCAGTTTGTGTTGGCTCATGTTCTAAGAAATAGCCAGACAAGATTCACAACTGCTTATTGTAGAAATGTTGCAGGAGGCACAGTCAACTCCATACAGCATCGTCCTTTATTAAGACCACAAGGAAAATGTCTTTATGATCACTGTATGGTATTTGCTTTTATATTTTGGTCTTCTACTTGCCCTGAAGCACCCAGCCCCTTCTTGCTTCAGGTCTCTACATGTGGAATTCTCTCTGCCTGGAATGGCCCCCATTCCTTACCTGTCAGGTTTAACCCTTACTTACCCTTCTGCTATTTGTTCAAGTGCTACTTCTTTAGGAAAGCTTTCCGTAACCAATACCTATTCCCTTTCTAAACTAGGTCTTCCTAAAATAAGCTTTATAGCACTCTTCCTTCTCACTTAATTAGCTTTTAGTTGAATAATTTTTGGTTTAGTAACTTTTTTCCTCTCTTAGATTGATGACAGGGAGACCATGCTTTTTTTGTTTGCTATTGAATCTCAGAGTCATAGTATAATATCTTGCACATAGTAGATGCCCAATAAATACTTGCTGAAGGGAGAATGAATGAATGAATGAATGCACTGAATCTTGTAGCTGCTTACTTTCTTTTTTCATTTGACTGTTTGGAAGCGCAAGCCCTTCTGGAATCTTCTGTAGCATCTGTGTCAGTCCTCATGGCATGCGTTTTGTGCACTAACATTCCCCTGACTGCATAATATGTCTTCTCTCCTTGACTTCTTCATTATTTAAATTCCATTGTGTACCCTTTAATTTACTTTAACACATTTGGAGGGAGAATAATAGGCCATGGGTAGGAGAAGAAAGGGAGAAGTCAAAGGGAAATGTTAGTGCCTTTTACCAGATAAAGGAGGAAAGTTTTCTTTTGCTTTATTTTAGTTTTATTTTCATTATGGGAAGGAAAAGGAAATAAATTTGCCTTTAATTTGTCAGGAAATGCCTATGAAGAATTTTGGGGCTTATCCATGCCCCTAGATGTTCTTCCCATTGGCTGGAGTCTTGGGGGGCTGGCTGGGCGGGGCCTCCAAGCCCAGTGGATGGGTGGGTGTGACCTGCAGAGGCTGTCAATGCAGCTGATGTCTACTCCAGTTGACTTTTCATTGTGGGAGGATTTGGGCAGAGCTAGTGGGAGCTTGTTTTTATTTTATTTTATTTTATTTTATTTTATTTTATTTTATTTTTCCTATAAGGAGAAAGAAATGAACTTGTCCTCTTGTGTTACAGATTCAGTGGTTCTTTCCTTTGACTCCGCTGGACAGACACTAGGCTCAGGTACCAATCTCCCTTCTCTATCCCCCAACCCCCAACAACCCCTCCCACCCCCACATCGTCCTTTCAGCACTCAACATTGGCCACATCTGAAGTGGAGCCTAATGAGTTAGAAGGCATCTGGGGAGGTCAGTGCAATATCTCAGTATCCTGGGAAGACTTTTCTAGGGTCTCTTGACCTAGGAAGTAATAGTGGGATACAATATCTGAAGACTTTGCCAGATGCTTTCAAAGCTTGCACTGCGGCGTCTGCAGTAGGTGCTCCTTCCTCTTCCAGAGTGGTCTAGGTTCACATAAAAGGATATCTATTTGCTGTGTACATATCCTTTTCAGACGATTGAGGCAGAGAGAGGAATTGAGACACCCCAAGCTCTTGGCCTGTTAGAGTATATGACCATCAGGGCTGTCGAGCAGAGTGCCAGGCTGGCGAGAACATCACGGCTTTCTGAGGACATACACCTCTTTCCATGTTTGCACACACATCCTGTATATTCAAAACACAACTCCTCCAGGAGGTGCCCTTTGCTGTACACTTGTGCGAATGTATGTGGACCAACACACTTCCACTCAAATTGGCACACCCGCCTTCCTGACATCAAATCTCCCAAGCTCAGTGGTGCTTGACTCTCCTTTGTCTAAAGGAAGTCTTCCCACTCCACACTGCTATGCCTCTTGGTGGTGAGCAGAAAGAGAGGTTACTGTGACTCTTTAGCTTACTGCCTTGCTTCCCTTTGGGAGCCCAGAATGACTTAACTTTCACAATTTGTTTTTCATTGAAGGCGGTGCTTCTTGCACTGTGGGTGCTACCTGTGAGTGACAGGGAGACTTTGCTGACCTCTTGAGGGCAGTTCATGCATTTTGCTGTGCTTGAATGCGAGAGAGTGAGGTTTGACAAAGCAGCCTTGAAGTTCAGGCAGTTGTGGTAGTGAGGCAAGGGAAAGATGTTCAGAAAAGACCACCGCTACCACTGTTTATTGAGAGCCTACTGTGTGCCAACATCATGCTGAGAACTTTACACACATCTTGCCAGGTGAATAGTGTATCGTTGATTATAGATACAGAATGTTCGAAGAGAGGAAATAATAGGCACAGGGCAATCACCTCTGTACAGCTCTCAAGGCCACTCTCTACCTTGTTGTCCTGCTGTCTTAGGCTCTGTGTGTTTGAAGCATCCCTCACCAACATGCTGAGTCAGGAGAGGTCATCTATTAAGATAGACTTGTTAAATAAATTTACATTTGTATCTTCATATAGGAAGAGATTTATCAGTGATACAACATTAAAGTTAGAACTCCTGTTAGTCAAAAGATACCATTAAGAGAAATGAAAAGGCAACTCAGGGTGACAAGAAAGATACTTACAACCCAAATAAGCAAGAAAGGCTTGTGTCCAGAGCAAAGAACTATAAAAATCAGTAGGAATCAAGAAACAACCCAGTATAGAAACAAGCAAAATGCTGAATAGGCACATCACAAAAAAGGAAATCCACTTGGTCAGTATACCACGAGAAGGTATTTGATGTGTTAATACCTGGGGAACTGCAGAGCATGGTGGCAGTGAGCTACCACAGCTCAACTACCAAAATCACAACGTTTGAGAAGCCTGATAGTGTTGGTGAATATGGGGTACAGTGAAAACTTTGTGTCTCTTCTGGTCAGAGGATAAGTTGTTTTCAACCACTGGGGAGGAACATGGTAGAATCTAGCTAAGTTTGAATCTACACATATCCCCAACCTGGCAGATCCTCCCCTAGCTATATTCCCAGCATGAATATTTATTCTAGGATATATGCACAGAATACATGGCCTAAAATATAAGTAGCAATCCGATTGGGAAAGATGGCAGAATTGAAAGTCCTACTGCATTGGCTGTGACTTTCTCACTTTTTCTCTGGTATCTTCTGCCTTGCATTCAAGCAGAAGGAATCTAGCAGTGGATACCAGGGCACAAACAGATAATTCCAGAAGAAGATCTCTAGTTATGGCTCTGGGGTGAGAAATGGCCTCTATGGCTCAAGTAGATGGGTATATCCCAAAGATTGTTTTCTTTTCCTCCCTGGTGCCCCAGTCTCCAGGCTGGTGTAATGACAGTGGCAGCTGTGGAGTCTCAAACAACAGCTATGGGGTCTCAAGCACCTAAAACTGAGGAGGGGAACCCTCACCTCTGGTCAGAGGAACTGTCATCCAAAGAGGGGAAGGTGAAATTTGGTTGCTTTTTTTTTTCTCTCTGTCTTCCTGCTACTTGGTCCCAGATTTGGGTTCAGTTCAAGAAATATATTCCAGGGGCCTCCCTGGTGGTGCAAGGGGTTGAGATGCAACCTGTGAAGCTAACAGCAGCCACTGCATCACGGGTTCAATCCCTGGCCGGCCAGGGGGCAGCCCATGTGGAGCTGCAAACCTCTCCTGAATCGCCCACTGCTCCCCTCGGCAGTGTGTTTCAGTCAGTCTGCCTGTTCTGTTCCCCACTCTGTCTCTGGTGAATACTCTCATCCCCTCCACGCACCTCTGGCCTGTACCCCAGCTCTTATATGCATAAATAAATAAAATCTTTAAAAAAAAAAAAGATGCTGTTAAAAAAATATATATATATTCCAGAATGTGTAACTAAATCCCAAGGTTTTTGACCAGAGGATGGAGAAGGGAAAGTACAAGAAGAAAGCAGAGAATCTCAGGACAGCTGTTCCATGAAGTTGCTGTGAATGCTTGGGCCAACCCCAAGCTGTGGATGTGTGCACCTGATTCTAGCAGTGAAGCATGGTGACCTAAGATAAGGAGCCTGGGGGGCTTAGTAACCTTTTGCTTAGTTCCTGGTATGCACTTTAGTCCCTGGTATGAATCTTGCTTCATGTTAAACCATGTACTGCCAAGAGGGGGATCCCATGACGACTGACCCCTTACTCCTTGGTATGCAGCTATACAACTCACCTCTTGGTGTGTGGCCACATCATATCTGACCTTGTACAGCTGCCAGTGCAAACCTACCTGGAACCTTCTAGAAGCTGAAAGTGTATGTAAGCCCCTGACTTGTATAAATGGAGCTCAGCCTTGGGATGCGAGTCAGTACCGGTACATTAAACCTGCTTCTTATTAGCCCTGGTGTCCACGTTTCTTTTGTACCATATAACAGCAGCATACCAAAGACTCTGAGAACTGAACTCAGGGGCAGCCTCCCCTTAAGTCCCACAGTGGGTACAGGGTAGGCACACACCAGGAATGCCTTTGAATAGGCTTTGACAATGGAGCTGGCATTGAAACCACAGCTCACACGAGGCCAGTCAGAACTTGCCACATTAACCCAGTCTTGTTGATTGTCTGGTAAAACAAAGATATCAATATTTTCCATTGAATGTTAGCAAGACCTAGAGTTTCATAATATAATATTTAAAATCTTCAAGACACAATACAAAATTAATCACACAAGGAACCAGGAAAATCTTAACTTGCAAATTTGCCAATACTGAGATGACAGAGGAAAGAATCAAGGCACTTTAAAATAAAGTCATAGGAGCTTTATGTCGGACAGCAGAAGAAAAAAGATTTAAAAGTTAAACAAAGCTTAGTGACTTGTGGGACGATACCAGAAGGTTTACAGTCTTTGTCATTGTAGTCCCAGAAGACAAAGACTGCAGAACAGAAGAAATGTTTGAAGGAGTGCCAGATGTGGTGACCATATTAAAGATGTAAAACAGATCATATCTTGTTCCGACAAAAGTTTCTTCATTGACTTCATGGTGCACTTAAACTAACATCCAAACTCCATGATCTGCTGGGTCCTTGTTGTGGCTTCTACTACACTTTCTCTGGAATTATCTCAACACTTTATTGCATTTCCCCTCACTGGCCTCAAGTCACATGGGCATCCCTGCTACTCATCAATAGACCTGGTCCCTGGGCCTTTGTACTCACTGCTCCCTCCATCTGGAGTGCTCTTACCTCCTGCTCTGCACTAATGTCAGGTCTGTTCACATGTTACCTCTGCACCCAAGCTACTTTATCTGAAGTAGTCTATTCCCTTGACAAGCAGTCCTTCACCAAGAAGATAGGTCTTGGGGCCTCCCTGGTGGCTCAAGGGGTGAAGCACCGCACTATGAAGCAGTCTGCAGCCTCTGCAGCATGCGTTTGGTTCCCGGCCGGCCAGGGAGAAACCCACATGGCGAGGCAGACCTCTCCCTGACTCGCCCGCTGCCCCCCCTCAGCAAGTATTTCAGTCAGTCTGCCTGTTCTGTTCCCCGCTCTGTCTCTGGTGAGTCCTCTCGTCCCCCACACCTCTGGCCTATACCCTACCTCTTATATGCATAAATAAATGAATCTTTAAAAAAAAAAAAAAGAAGCTATGTCTTTCTTTATTCCTTCTCAGCACTCTTATTTACCTGCTTTTTTACTTGGGAACTGTTGGTCTCCCCTACTTTAGGCTTCCTTTGGCCAGGGACCTTGTCTCTCTTGTTCACTGCTATGTTGCTGGTACTTAGAACAGTAATAGGTGCTTAGTTTGTTAAATGAAGAGTAAAAAATTAGAAATAGTGTTGTCCATCACTTAATGGACACCTAAGGGTCACGTAAATAATGGTGTACCCATACAGTGGAATACTGTGTGGTAATTAGAATTGATGATGTATCTTTACTGACACAGAAGATGTCCAGGATATTGTTGAGTACACGAGACAGGAACAAACAGCATGTAGATGGAGGTCACAAGTAAGTAAAATTATAATATATGTACATCTACACATAACACTATGGAGAGAGAGATCGGTGGAAAACTAGTCACTAAGATGTTTATAGTGATAAACTTTAGATGATGGGATTTTTGAATGATTTTTACTTAATTCTTTATAAGATTTCTTCATTTGAATTTTTATAGTAAACCTGTTATTTCTACAATAGGAAAAAATAAATTAATTCTGTTTGGAGAGAGGGACTCTGTTTCATGTAATGATTATCTGGTAGTAATTTGTACCTACATACTCTACTAGGTGGTACGCTCCATAAAGTTAAAGATACAAA